GGATGCCACTGGCTCAGCAGCATACTTCATTTATTAGTTATTTTTTGAAAATGAAAGGGATTATACACAACTGAGCCCTAGTGTAATTTCCTGGCTAAAAATTAGGTTTGCGAAGCGCTTATACATTGAAAACCATCTGCTTATTTCAGGTGCGTGCACGCGAACACACACACGCCCGCATGCACGAACGCGCGCGCGCGCACGTGCGCAAGACTGAACTCATTTATCTGCATCTATTCCCGTTCCTTTATTATTTTTTATATCTTTGTTGTTCTAGTTGCTTTTGTATTTGAATTAACAGCTTACCTAGCGCAACCTCTCAACATATCATTATTTCAGTAGTGTTAGAAGTAGTGTTACAGGAGCAGTTCTAATATGGCAACACTCCGAACCCACTATCCTCCACGGACGGCAGTAGAGAAGCCCTGAGCACCAGAACATGATTCTCGGAGGAAAGAATCCTGTTTCTGGAAGCCTCACTCTTACGTGGGTGTGACGCTAATAAAAGCCGCTCTTGACAGAAAGGCAATTAATGCACCGCTATAGACCTATAATATCGGCGTACAATAACTTCATACTTTTTTCATTTTCGCATTATCGTTTTGCGTGTCCCTGGTCGCCGCATCTATCGCGTTTCGGAGGTGTACGTTAAGCGATGACAGATATTACATATCGAATTTCTCGGTCCGCACTTTGGCTAAATGGTCGGACACGTCTGTTTTAACTTTTATTTCACGCTCACAGCAGAATCTTCCTTCTTTCTCTTAGTAATGTTATGCAGAATCTTTAGATCATCAACATTATTCGGTTTTTTGTATTATTCAAAATGTTGATTTGCAGAACTAAAGCAGCAAATTGGAATAGTTGGAACATACTCATCACGATAAGCACTCAAACAAGCACAAACACACAAGAAAGTTTACGACACGAGCACAACGTAGAGCACTCTTCGTGCTTTGTGCACTTATCGGGATGAGTTACAGAACATTAACAGTGCACACAAATAGGAAATACACAAGGGAGCGTTATTAGATTGATCTTGCACAATCCACCGTCTTGTTTGCCGTAACAATCAGTTAAAATCTTATATTGTGATACGTTGTACGATTAAGAGTGCTCTATTCTCTTTTCAAACATAATCACTACTGTTTTAATTTGTTGTTTTGTCGCGTAACATAAAATAAAGTAGCAGCAAAGATTGAACGATGAAATAACTTTGGAAAGCGTTGATTTCAGAAGGTATGATAACATAAAACTAAATAAATGTTGCTGATCTTAGGAGTGCGGTGTTGTGATACTTGATATGGCTCCTAACAGGTAAAAAAATAAAACGCACTTGCTTAGAATAACTGTGCGTTGGGCGAGTTTGTATTGCCAATCAATAGTCGGCGTCTCGCTGTGCCTTCTCTTTTTTTCTTTGTGACTTTTGCGCAAAGTGCCGTTCAAAATGCAGTAGTTGTTTCAGTTGCAGCAGCGTCAAAACGAGGTGTAGTTATGAGTGGTGGTGTTTCAACTTCGTATATTATTAGAGAGAAAGAGAGAGAGAGAAGAAAAGAGGGGAGGCTTAATAGCTATCTTCTTTTGATTCTGAACAATTAAAGAAAGAGTCAATTATTGCAATACTGGGACAAATAAAACGATGCCTGTGCACTTCAATTAGGCAAACATTTAAATATGGAAGTACTAAAGCAATAGCGCCAAACTGTCCCCTATGATGTCTCTCACAGATAGAGGAACAAAAAAGGTAAAATACAGGAAGGTTAACCAAAGGAGATCTCTGGTTGGCTAGCTCCGCGATTCTCAAAGCGGGTTCCGCGAATCCCAAGGGTTCACACCTCCACGTGCCCCGCCGCGGTGGTCTAGTGGCTAAGGTACTCGGCTGCTGACCCGCAGGTCGCGGGTTCAAATCCCGGCTGCGGCGGCTGCATTTCCGATGGAGGCGGAAATGTCGAGGCCCGTGTGCTCAGATTTGGGTGCACGTTAAAGAACCCCAGGTGGTCGAAATTTCCGGAGCCCTCCACTACGGCGTCTCTCATAATCATATGGTGGTTTTGGGACGTTAAACCCCACAAATCAATCAATCAATCACACCTCCACGTGGTTCCCCGAACCACTGATAAATTTTCCCTGATTCCACATTCACCCACTCAACTCACTTAGATGGCAATACCGAGAGGTGATTGATTGAGGGAACCTCCATTATTCAGGCCAGAGCGCCGATAAGCACATCCAAGTGATTTTATTTTTATTGCGATAGCAATTATACGGTCAATCTCGGCTGGCTATTTGCAGTCGCCGCCGCTACGCTGCTCTCGCTTATATATATATATATATATATATATATATATATATACGGGAAATATGCGCTAGCCTCCTTTTTCTGCAGAGGGAACATCGCCTGTCCGACCGGGGTCGTCTGCGCCAGCACTTATCTCGCGAACGAACAATGAGGGAGGGGAGGCACTTGGTTGCCGCGCTATCTCGGCAGCGATAAGCGCATGACTTGTGCCCCGCAGCAGGCGGGATCGTCTCAGGGCTGTGCTCTGAATACGATAAAACGGTGCCAAGAGTGTACCTGGAGCGGCCGTGTTCTCTTACAACGGCGTTTTGTAGAGTTACGTGAGATCGGACATGAATGACTTGACTGCCAGCCTCACTTCGTATAACATTGCAATAAGTTCCAGTCACATTGATTGCTTCACCTTTTCGTTGAAACTGATGTCGTGCAATCATCCCTGCCTTAGTCGCGAACTGCACTTGACAGCATGCGCACGAGTATATATAGATACCGAGAAAGCTTCTTAATGATTATGTTGGGTTTAGCATCTCAAAACCATCATATGATTATGAGAAACGCCGCAGTGGACGACTGCGGAAATTTCGACCATCTGGGGTTCTTTAACGTGCACTCAAATCTGAGGAGATGGGCCTACAGCATTTTCGCCTTCATCGAAAATGCAACCGCCACAGCCGATATTCAATCCCGTGACCTACGGGTCAGAAGCCGAGTACCTTAGCCACTAGACCACCGCTGTGGGGCCCGAGAAAGCTTCTTCAGACACAGTTAGGTATCCAGTGGCTTTGCACGTTTGGCAGGTTGTGTACCGTTTATAGTAAGTTATTGTCGTTCATCTGTATCCGTGATTACATTTCGTGCGTCATTTGTGCGTGAGAAACGCGGGCACGTTTCGACCTGCTTGCCATTCTTCGCGTGGCTTTCCACTTGTTTGCTATCACGTTCAATGCTTCGTTCTTGCGGCAAAGCTGTAACTTTTCATTGAAACTAAATATGAAAAAAATAAAAAGCTCACCGGTGGGAGGGCGGGGTTCCTTTTCACTTGATGTAGCTAAGCAGGGTTCCCTTGCACCAACATGCTCGAGAATCCCTGGGCTAACTTGTACTTCAGAAATGGAAAGTGGTTGTGAGCGAATGAAAATGAGGATCACTGCTAGCAATACAACAAAGCAACAGCACTCGTTCCTCTGACGGGTAGTGACTGGCTATCGGTTGTTATATCACAAGGGTTGTTTTGCTACAAGTGCAATGCAACGATTGAGTCGTGTGTCAATGTTTTTGGTGTAGAAGCGAATATATGTCTTAGCTTCATATCTCTGGAGGGTTGCTCTGGGCTGAGCATTTGCGCACCACTTGCGGTCAGGCCACTCACAAGTTCATTCCAAGCCACACGGGAAAGCGCAGCGGGTGGCAAATGATGAAGCCGACAGTCCCAGCCTCCATTTACAGCTGGTATTTTTGCAAGGATCATTTGATAACACGGGAGGGGGAAAACTGAGGTGTCTAGACAGTTTGCATACGTAAAAAAGATGACTGGTCTTCTCTAGCGTGCTCAAGAGCGTGCAATTTTTTTCTGTAGGATAAGAATGGGGAATTCAACATCATGGCCAAAAATGGCCAGACTAAAAACTCAAGGAAGCCATAGACTGGTTTCAAACTTTTCAGCTTTTAATTTTAGTGAGATCGCAAAAAGCCACACACTCCGAATGGCAGCGAGGCGTGCTCACGTCTCCACGTGCGACGTCTGGTGACTTCACCCAAGATCTTTTCACAAAATCTGCGTAAAGTTACACTTGTGGCACTCTTGCTTAACGACTACGCAGCATTACCCAGGCGAGTGCGAAATTTAAATATCAAGGTACCAGCAGGAGTGAAACCCAAGAATTTTGCGTGGCAATGAAGTATTCTACCACAGAGCCATGTCAGATCTCGGAATCCTTCAGAAAAAAAAAAAGACTGCAGGCGTAATGTTGGTGAAACGTCAATTCTGGGAGCATTGATACAGGCGTCACGTCGAGTTAGCTGCAAATGTAGTTAAGCGCCAACCAGTGAAGTTGCTCTACGTAGCACTATCCAAGGCTAACATCCTCGCAAGCATTTTTATGCTTCCTACTTCTTGTGTTGTTAATACCCGTGTTGCTATTGGCATCATTACGCGACTGCGAACAACTGATTATATAGGCGTATTTGTTTTTAAACATTATTGCCAGTGCGTGTTACATTTACACATATTATAGCGGCATTTCGTAACCTTTCACTCAACAATAAAATTGCACCAGTATTATTTTCCCTCCACATGCTTCGCATGCCTTGATTTCCATGGTACGTGAGATTTGATAATTTTTTTCTCCGTGACGTTGTCTATCTAAAATATAGGTCACATATAGGTGACGTGCCGCAAGATTAAAGACCACAACAGATTAAAAAGCTGAATGTTTTCGTTTTTCCAGGAGGCAACTTTGAATGCAGATTTCCGGACTGTTACAAAACGCAATTAGCAAGCTTCCACTCGGTCTAATGCAGTCACCAATTCTTGGAATATTGAGTTTTCTCTCACCAAGTGCTCTCTAATATTTCGACACCAACTATACATTCAGAATATTTTGTTATTTTCTCAACTTCAACTCCGCGTAGTGGTGACGTATTCCAGCGGGAGCTATAGACTACACACCGCTAAATAATTCAGTCAAAAACAAGCAATGAAAATGGTCGATGGTAATAATAATTATATATTTTATTGTAGAGCTTAAAAGTTTGCGCCGTAAGTCCGTATGATGCATTTATATACGAAGATGTACTGAACTCTTGGGGTGTTAACAAAATAGTCTTAAAAACCAGGTAGATGGGAAACAAATGAAGGACACAGCCAGGACAGCTGTCAAAAAGAAATAGTTCGGGAGAGATGGAGAAATAGTCGTGAAAAAATCCGAACAAAATCATTAGTGTGGACCTGTGCTAGTACTGTTTCTCGCCGATGCGCGCAAACAGGCACGCCTTATTCACTCTGTCACCTCATACACACGCACGCACGCACACATAACTCTTGACGTCCTCTCTTTTCTTCGTAGTTTTCTTGGCAATTGTTCACAGATGACCGCGTTCACGCACGCGAAGTGTTCAAGGTAGCACTGATGCTCCTTCGGATTGCGCTTCGTCACCATCACACTCGGTAGGACGCTGGATGAGATTAAATGGAATGAGTGGGCACGTCCTATCTTCACCCGTCTTGTCTTCCTCTTAGGCACCACCTCATCTCACCATGGCAACTCAGTTATGGCAGCCTACACGAAGGCGAGATGCTTTCTTTTATTACCCCATCACCACATCATCTGGGCGTATTTTGTTTAAAGATTTCATTTCATGAGGTATCGTGCACCCAGGCAAGCAGCCTAGATGGTTCTTGACTAGTTTGAAGAAGGAATGTGACCTTTTATCTTCTGACGACGTCCTCAAAGACAAAATTGCGCTTGAGCCTGGGCGCCGCTCACAAAGCTGCAGTTGTGTTAGATCGTTCTATGTACAGAAAAAGGTCGCAGCGTCGCCAGGGGGGTCGCACTCACTGCAGCGGGACGGTCGTGCACGTCTTCATCTCCAGGCGTAGATGCCCCGTGTCGTTCTCGCCCGACGGGATAAAAGAAAGCTCGTGTCACACGTAGTCCACATCCCTGTTCTTACTTCCGCAGTCCTCTCACGGGTTCGATAACCTGCACTCACGCACCACTGTCGTCGTCGGCGGGTTCTCCAGGTGTGACCATACCGCTCTCGCACGCTTTCTTTTTTAATTGTTTTGTCTCTGCACGATCGACACATTCACGACCATGGGGAGCTTCGAACTGTCTCGCCCTCACTTACGTTGCACCATTGCTGTCACACTGGCGTCGATATCGTATTGTGGTCGCTTGGCGCTCCTCCTAGGTGCTGAAAATAAAGCCAGAACAATAAACGCTGCTACACTCAATGATTGCCGTAAAAATAAAATAAATAGAAAGCCACTGCAGGTGGGCGGTTTGCAGTGCCAACGGTTTTCCTCTTGTTGATGACTCGGCAAGAAAGTAGCTGAACAAGTTTAAGTACCCTCACCAACCATGTCTTAATGAATTACTATTATAGGCTACTTGTGATATATGCCACCTTACTTAAAACGAACACACGACGCCAAAGAAGTTACTATAAGTAACGTTAATTTAACTCTATCTGTTTTGCAGTAATTATCTAAGGACATATTTTGGTGATAATTTTAATAATGACTACAATACAATGTGAAGACCACAATGAACGTCACCTACACATTACGCGGCGTGATTATCTGTTGGTATTTATTGGGGTGGTATCAACAAAAAACTAGCCCTTAAAGCCAACTTTTTTTCGATCCTACCACATATATCAGAACCTAAATTACGCTATGTGCAAGAATTCCGAGTACCAAGAAGCGTAGTACCGAAAAGGCGATAATGATAATAATAACAATATTATAATAATAGTAGTAATAATGTCTGAGCAAGCTCAATCCTAGTTCACGACGTGATCGTGAGGAACACCACAGCGGAGGGCTACGTAAAGACGGTTACTATAACGCTGTGCATACTTCTATTGTCCCACTCTTTCTCTATCACGAGAATCTATCCCTCGCCTACCCTGACGTTTGGCTGCAGGCTGTTCATGAGCGGCGTGTCCGAGCCGACGGCAGCGCAGGGGTCCTCCTCTTCGGACTGCGGCGGCACGGCGCTGAACAGCACGCCGGCCCGTTGGAAATCGATCTGCGCGTAATCGGTCGGCGGCTCCTCGTATGCGCACTGGGTATTTGCTGCGCGGCAGAGACAGCTCCGCGTAGCGCACCTCGTTGTCCATCTGCAATCAGTCGAAATTTCAAAGTACTAAATACTTATAGAAAAAAAAGCAAATAGAAAACGATAAAAAAACTTTATTTGAGCATCAAACTGAAATTCAGGGGACCTTAAAATACGTGCTATCGAAGCTCCGCGTATGCGTGCTTGATCTACGGGTTTTCTTTATTTCATTGTTGCTCAATGCTCTCTCGCAGTTTTTGGTTCATCTACGCGGGCAACTGAGCCTACATCTACGTGTTAGCAGTGAAATATTTCACCTTTTTACGGGCAACAACGACAACCATGCGTTCTCATCCAGATAATAACAAAATGAGGCAGCATAGAAGCACATGTGGCCTAATAAAAGATCAGATTGTCATATCTGAAACGACAGATCATGGACAAAGCCATCACCGGCAGAGCATCGTTTATCGGGAAACGGCGCGTGCAAAAACGCACGTGACCGCCGCGTCTTCGAGAACCGCATCAACCGGTTTGTTCCGGCGCTTTCAAGTACGGCAACGCCACCACCAAAATATAACTAATGACAAGGATCGTTAAAAAAAGCACCAAGAAGGACAAACCTTGACAGGTGATGGCCGTCTCAGTGACTGAATGTTCTCGTAGTTGTAGTCGCTGGGAGAGAAGCTGTCGTACGTTCGATGAGCCGGAAACGTCGGGATGCGCCGAACAGCCACGCGCGGGTACTCTGCTACACGCAGGAACGAAGAACATATGTGCAAAATATAAAACAAAGGGATAAGCCTGAAAGGCAAATTTACCTGGACATATATGTACCACATATATTATGGTAAGGGCTAGAAATCCCTTACTACTGCTTCAAAATTGGTCGTTCAGTCCCTTTTGGGTGAATAAAATGCTCACCCGTTAACTGTCTCATAGACAAATTATACCACTAATTTATAGCATTACGCTTTGAAACTAACGAGAAAATTTCATCAGAATCCCGTGAACTTACATAGAACATCAATTTACAGCTATGCTAAGAAAGTCCAAAACGTTCAAGTGCATCCTCGTAAGATATGTGCACTCGGAATGCCAGAGAAACTACCTGGCACGTCAGCAGTAACAACACTTCAGTCTTATCTTAACAAGGCATTAAAAGAAAACTTTTTGTCACATATACATCTTTGGGGTGAAATAAACCTAACGCTAAACTAGCGAGATGTGCAAAATTATCGCCTACCTTGCGAATCACTGGTCTTTTGAATTACAGACGGATCTTTGGTGTCGATATCCGTAAGGGCTAAGTCGTCCACTGCTTTCCTTTGATGGTTTTGGTTCCTAAAAAGAAAAAAATATAATTTTAAACGTGGGGTCCCTTCTATTTTTTACACAAGCCGTGTAAAGCGCAAGAAACGGCAAATGTCGCCTTTTTGGCTGGTGCTCTGTCTATTCTCGGTGGAGGCAGAGTAAAGCCGTGTCGCAGACCATGCAAGAATGTCCGAACTCCAGCGCTGCCATAGAGTTTCAAAAAATATACACTAGAGGGAACGCTGGCGCTAGTGTCTATAGGAGCTTTAACGCATAGCGTTTCAGCGAGCGTCGGAATTATGGGTAGGACATGGGTTTGCCTAGTCTTCCGTACTTTACGTTTGTGCTGTCTTCGCTTGGCTTGAAGCCTGCTTTGTCATGATACAACAATCAGCAAATGTTCGGGCAGCTAGCGCTTCACCGCCTTAATTCTTTAGGCTTACCTCTTCTAATTGTGTTAACAAGAGAAACTTTTTTTCTTTAGAAAACAAAACAAATTTGTAGCGAAAGTTTGATTAAGGACGTCTTGAGGGACTAGCTTGTTCAATACTTTACAGCAAAGACTTGCGCTAATAAAGAAAAAGAATTATCACATTTTTTTTCCGTTCAGTGGTAAAAAAAAACATTCTACCGAACCTAAACGCAATAAACGAGAGGTTGATTAAAAAGAATCTAGGAGTTTGAGCCACTTACTTTTATGGACTCTCCTCAGTAGCACCTGCAAGAAGTAAGAAAGAAGGGAAGGAAGTAGGGAGTAAAAGCGAAAGTATTAGTGAAAAATCTATCCCATTAACTTTGGGAATGGAGGTACACTTTTTTTTGTCGAAACTAAGTTGGTAGGTTTGTGACGAAACCCTAAAATTGCTTGCATTTTCGTCCCGTACATGAAGTCCGGAAGTATTTGTTGCATATAAGAAACTAGCACAGAAAAGTTAACCACAATTGTTGAAAGAAACAAAGAACAGTGCTGACCGTGAAATATTCAGAAAAGCGAAGGATTTGCTATGCAGGTAAACTAGTGTGTTGAAAATTAACGATAATCAGCATTTAGTAATCATTTAAATATCACTTTGAGTTCCCAAAAATCTACAAAAACATGCAAGGCTCTCGGTTAACTAAACTCCATAGGTCTGTCTGGACAAATCATTGCATACTTTTTCAATTGTAACACTTGGTCGCTTTTGTTACCGCTATACTGAGCAGATCTTGAATTTAGAACGGTGATGTTCTAAACACCGTTTGTAGTGGCACGAGCAAAATCATTGACATAATTAAATGATGAATACAGAACTGACCTGCGTAAAACCTTACTTCTATGAACACTTTCACTTCTATTTGATACATATTTTTCCCACTGTTTGTTTTAACGTTTTTACTGCCCGCTAGTTCCCACTTGCATTCGGTTTCTAACATCCGTGAAAATCGGCCTGGCTTACGCACTTTGCAAAAACAGGTGAGTCTTGATTTACTAAAGGGGGCGTAGTTCAAAACAAATTCGTTGTTTAGAGATAATGTTTTTTAAGTTATAGAGCTTTTTAAATAGCTGATAACTTAATCCTCGTATAAAAAGCAGAGACATGACTGAGGACTGACCAAAACGTCAATGACGACTGATACATGACTGTAATCAGTGCCGTCATAGTCATGGTCCTTTTTTTCCCATTAAGTGCGATAATTTGGCGCTTGTAGCCCGAATAAAACACTAGGGACCAATCCCGGTACTCACGCTTCTCGCTGTCGTCTCCGCGGAGTCGCATTACGACCACGATAACGATGGCCACCAGCACAAGAGCTCCCACGATGCCGATCAGGACACCAAGCACTGGACTCACTGATGTGATGTCCGTGTTAGCTGCACAAGCGCCATGTTGTAATAGTCATGGCGCTCATTTCGTATGCAGTCTCGACAATATGCCTAAAGACAATATCCTTACGGACAAACAGGTGCTTCAGTCTCTTCGACAAACTAAATAAACGACTATATGTTTATGTAAAAGGTAGTATGCGTCGTTGCTCTATGTTTTCATTTCTAATCAATCAGTCGAAAAATGAACGGCTGTCGGTCGGGCAAACAAGGAACACAGCAGTGCCTTGTAGAGAGATTTAGATCCATGGCTGTTTAGAAGTTTCTGCGTTTACGTGTAGGCGTACCTAAGCTACCTATACCGATCTGTTTGTCCCTCCAGTTATATATATACATCACCCAGTAAAAAGGTAGCCAGAGCATCAATTTTCTGAGTGCGAAAAAAAGTAATAACTAGCCAATTCAACTTCATGATTTTTCCAAAAAAAAAGAAACTCTTTCTCTGCTTTCATTCACGAGGTTTCATGGATTTTCATGGATTGGACAGGACACTATTTCTAAAATTCACTACAAATAATCGGCCCGCCCACACTGCTGCTAGTGCACACGAGCTAGCGCAATAGCAAAAATACAGAAAATCCAAGAAGTAGTGTAACACATTTTAATGAATTAAACTATCGTATACCACTTAAAGTTATTGAAAATTGTTTTTTTTTTATTTTGATTTCGTTGTTGTTGTTTATGGTCTAGCTTGCAAATATGCGCTCGCAGTGCTCCCTCAGAAAGCAAGTCACCAGACCTTAGCAAAATAGAAGTGCTACTGGCTACGGCATTCTTTCAAATCACTTGTTTGGTGGCCTAGCTGGTGATGAACTCTACATATATACTGGTGACAATGCAGATACACTACGGAAAATGAAATATTAAAACAGACGGAACAGAACCCTCTGTCGTTTTCTTTTCCTTCTTCCAGTTTGTTTATCGTAAGAAGTATGGGTAGCATTGATGAGACAACGCTCTTGCCACTCTACCTGTCCTCCTCTCGGGTGAGGGCAGCGTGTTGGTGGATATGGAGACGCTGTTGCTGCGGCCCTTGGAGTTGGAACCGTAGAGTACTAGTATGAAGGCAGTGCCGGGCGGCAGGTCACGCACCACGAACGACGCGCCCTCCGAGGAACTGAGGTTGCGCTGCAGGAGCTCCAAGGCCGAGTTGTACACCTCCAGGTGAAAGGTCTGCCGCAGTCCCCCATGGTCACCCGGATCGCACTCGACCGCCAGTGAGACTGAGGTTTGGTTGCTCACACGACAGTTTCGCACAGCCTCGGGTGGCCCTGTCCAACGAGACACTGGCCGCGCTCAGTTATCCACGCTTGTCGTTGGGTTGCATGTGCCGCAAACAAACGCTTGTTATCCTCCAACTAAGGTTTCTGAAACGCACTGCACATTGATCACATGCGCTTTGGGGAGCTTATGCAAGCGACTAGGTCTACACGTAACTATCTTCTCACCCTATTTGTAACGAAAAGAAAAAAAAATAGCGCACGCTAAAGCTTCGCCTTTAGGAGTTGAACGTGATAGCACCATCCTGTTCTCAGTGCGTACTTCATGCACTTAGTGCATGGAACCTTTTTCGAATTTTCTCTGCACCCACGTGGCCCTAAGGTAATAGGCGTAGTGGCTTCTGTGCCTTTTCTAGTGGGTGACGGGCTTGAAATCATAAAACGATTATTATAATCACATGATCTCACTCCCGCTGGAATGTATGCATGTACCGCGCATTATTACTGCAATATTTCGTGTTGCATTGTGAATCATACGCGCATACAGGGCGCGTGTGCTTGTAAAGCGTGAAAGCGACTTTCACTGCATTTTTTTTATTATTTGGTAATACTGTCAACCCTCATAGAGGGTCATAACCTAGAGGACATACATATAGAATGTACAATGTTCATAAAGTTTGTTAATACCTTGACAACTTACAATGAAAATTGGTATTTTCTTAATTAACAACTGAACATTCAAATATCAACTCAAGAACAATTCAAAACACACCGTCATTTTTATAATATTTTCTATGCACATGACGTCGCTTACATCTATTGGCACTGAAAAAAATTAAAATAAATTAAATTTAAAAATAAAAAAAAAATACAAGCAGAGTAAGTTCTTTTAACTGTATTCACAAGCATACGCGAGACCGTGTGGTAGAACATCCGCTGC